ACTGGCATTTGAAATAAGCTTTTATTTTCCTCTACCCCAGCATATTTTCCTTCAAAACAACTTTCTCCCCAACCTTTCTCATCCAGACAGAAAAGCAGATTCTATTCTATTGAGTAACATTGAAAGGACTTTTGTATTGATATCTAATTGCCCCAAGTATTAATTGATGGTATCTCTGGCTTAGACATGAAAAAAAAACCAAAGTACTATAATTTGATTTGGTATAAATGCTGGTACAACCTGTGTACAACCTGTGTACACTGTTAAAAAAACAACAGAAAAAATCCATCTGGATCAACAGCTGGTTGCAGCATCCTGTTTTCCACAGACACCCTAAAGAGATCCAACTCAGGGCACAAAGGCAACAGCAACTGATATTTGGGACTTCACAGCAGGGCCTTCCATATGATTTTAGCTTTCTTTGACACTGAACATTTTGAAACAAGGGTTCCCCTTGTTTTAATCTTGTCTATTTACATGTGCAGGTGACATAAAAGTCTTGGGGGGGGGAGGAAATTAAAACATTGCTTGTTTTACAGAAATTTACTGCATATGAGCTTAACTTCATGTAAACCATAGGTGGACTTCCTTTATGTTGCTGGAAACCACATTTATTTGTTTCGGGGGAAGTTACAGTGACGGGTGATGAGGCAAGTCCATGGAGTTAAAGTTTCCTGATTAGGGGTGTGGAGAGTTGGATGGGGAGGGGATCCCTTTTTAAACTGGGTTAAGATTATATTAAAAGGCTTACACAACAAGGATTTTTGTATTCATGGATTAAAATTTTGAGAAATCACACTGTCGCTTTTCAAAAATTGCACATTCAAAGTTCAACACCCTAATCAAAGGGATCGGTCGGTGAGTAGAGCTCAGACATGGCCTTGCAGGTGCCCTAATGCAAACATTTGGTATCGGAAAAGAACTCAACTAGGTAACCAAGCAATTTGACTATTTTGCTTGATCTGTCTAACCAATATTTTCAAAATTAGATATTGATACTTACAACATAAATGTACTATATGAACCACTGCCATTTTAGGGAAAAAGGTAAGATATCAAAGAATGATTGATGTACATACCCAATCAAGCTTTTAAAAAATTGTCTTTTAAATGGAAGAACCTTATATGGGGACAGGAAGGGGGGCTATGTTATTCACTGTGGATTCCTATTCTGTTCCTCTATCCACTGGACATCCATTGAACATCCATTTCCTCCTATGGTAGAAATAGACGCCATGGAGAAATATTGGTTGAAAGGCAGTTGTCCATTTTTCATTCCACACCTGTGTTCTTCCATGTGGGCATGGGGGAAGCCCACATGGGGAAAAACAAAGAAGCTGCTTCAGAGAACTGAAGACCAGTTCCTGCTGACAGGTCCATTCTCATGAATTTATCACATCCTTTGGAAAGACCATCTCAGGGTCATCTGTAGTGGTGACTTGTCCAACTCAGCTTTCCCCAACTGGAGTCCTCCAAAAGCAAACTCCTCTTAGCAAGAGGTACCTCTCCTGGCTTTAACCTAAGAACTTGTCCCTTGCATCTAGAACCACTCGTTTAAAAAAAGGAAAACTATGAAGAAGGGTTCTTGAATATATGCAGAGGGCCTTTTATCTCTCCTGCTTCAGTTAGAGTTTCTGGAGTGGTGTGTGTATAAATTGCAAGGCAGACCCAAGGCCAGCAAATCTCTTTTTAAGGATTCATCCCTGGCCAGTTCCCTGCAGAGGGAGTAACAGTGCTTCACACTCCTCTTTGTATTCAGTTTGCACCACTCCTCTGCTCTGGCCCAGGCATTCTTCCTGAAAGGACTTTTGCAATCTTGTTGCTGCCAGGCCTTGGCTGCAGTTGTTGAGGGAGTGTGGTGTTGGGAGCAGGCTGAGGCAGCAGCCCTGTCTAGAGGATTGAGGCTTTGGACAGAGAAAACCCAGACTATCTGCTGACCCAGCGCTGGGGAATTTGAAGGGTGGGGGGAAAAGTCAACGAGCGAGGAGGAAGTGTCCTTCCCATCTGATTTTCCTCGTGACTGTGCTTTGCAGCCAAAGAATGTGAAACCCTCAATGAGAAAATGGATAAGGAGACAGGAATGTTTATGGCTTTGCCACAATTTCCCCATAAATTTGAGAGATGCTGCTCCATGGAAAACAAAGTCCCATTCAGTTCCTCTGCTGCTCTTGTCCAGCACTCAGGCTCTCTGCCAGATGGAAACCCAGATAGTCTCCATTCTCAGCATCTGCCCAGCAGGATTCAGCATCTGCTTCTGTCATGGTCCCCTGATTGTTAAGCAGGCTCTAAACATAGCATTTTAAAGGTAATCAATTGTGACAAAGGCTAAAACTGTGGGCCAGCCTGACAGGCAGTTGGAGGCAACCACCCCAGGTTGCGCCTTAGGGAGGGGTGGGAAGAAGGAAAGAGTAGCAATAGCTGTCCTGTTCTTCTTGACTGAGCTATTTGGCTCTCCTGGAGAAGAGAGAGGTGTGTTCTTCACAGCTTCTGCCTCTCCAAATCAAGCTTATTGTATCTGGATGTGATGGAGAATGTTTCTCCCCAGTCAAAACTCTCTGGCTTCTCTAAAAACTTGCCTGGGCCATTTTGGTATATGATTTGAGGTGAAAACAGACATGTTACATGTCCTGGGAGTTTCCTTTTATGGGAGGAATCTAATCAATTCTTAGATGGGGGGATTATTGTTCCCAATTCCCCATTGTTGCCCCCAGCTGCTATTTCTCCCTAATATGCTAATAGCAAATATGCTATATGGTCAAATTTGGGTAAATTGGTTGAGTTGTTGGGGCTGAATATGTAGCCCTCCTGATCATTAATTCTATCCTCTTCCATTAAATGTAGAAGAGACATCTTTTAAAAAACCATTCTAGGCCCTGATAGCAATCCTAGTTGAGTAAATTTGTTTGTTTGTTTGTTTAACAAATTTATATAGCTATCAAAATCACATAAAGGTGACTCTGGGCAGTTTACAACACTTAAAAAGTCTACTGAATGATAAACCCACACCCAACCCCATAAAAGATTGTTCTTCTACTAACTGAATAATCCACCTAATTACCTATTGTATATGGTAGATTAAAAACATAATAAACATATACTTTAATTTTACCTAGAAAAATGTGCTATGCATTTGGTTTAAATAGTTGTTTAACAATATGCAGACCAGACTGCATATTGCAGTGATGGTGAACCTATGGCACTCGTGCCAGTGGTGGCACGCAGAGCCCTTTCTATGGGCACACGTGCTGTCACCAGTTGCTCTTATGGTTTCCGGCCGTGCATGTGCGCCAGCCATTTGGACTTCGCATGTGCCAGAGTGCCAGAAACCCGAAGATTAGCTGGCTGGTGCGCATGCGTGTGCACACCTGGTCTTTGGGTTTCCAGAGCTCGCATGGGCACTGGCCACCTGGTCTTCACGAGCACCGGAGCGCCAGAAACCTGAAGACCAGCATGCACACAGGCCAGCTGGTCTTCGGGTTTCCAGCAATCCGATGAGCGCATGTTCCGGTTTGGGCACTCAGTGCTGAAAAGGTTAGCCATCACTGCTCTAGGGAATGCATAATTCTCTACTTTTAACTACTGTTTCATTACCTAGACCCTTATCTTGCTTCAGTAATTACAAGAGATTGTATTATCAAAGATAGCCAAAATACAGATAGTGTATTTGAGAGAATATAAAAAGACCTTGCATATTGATCTAATTTGGAAAGTGTTAATTATGAGTCAAATCACAACCATGGCAATATGACCAAGATTTAGACTTGCATGTTTTAACCCATGTGGACTCAGATGAATAATTTTTCAAAAAGCCAGCGAGGCTTCTAATAACATGCCATAGCACACATTTTCTGTATTCTGAACAATTCCCAATTGTTTAATTTTGTATTTAGAATTTTTATTTTGTGACTATACTGTAGTAGTCCCAGAACTGAATCTTAGGATGAAAGGTTGGTGGTCTCAACCTGCCTCTCCCAAAAATCCTCAAACCTATAGCTTAGTTCTACTCCTGGTCTTGGTGGGCAGCGTGTGAATTATTGCTGTCATTAATTATCTTCTAGGAAACATCTTACTTGCTGTCCTCCCCATAACCTGAGTGTGTAGGTGTGTGTGTGAGAAGGCTTCTATACCCCCTGTTGTTTTCTGGCAAATAAGAAAAAAAAGGGGGGGGGAATCAAATAGATTAAATAGTGCCACCTCCTGGATGGATATTGTCAAGGCATGTGACTAGCAGAATCATTTCCCTTCCCTTGGGAGGTAAACAAGATTATTAAGAAGGAAAGAGAGAATGTTAAACTCTTTTTAGCTTTCAGATATACAAGCAAGATCCTGAATGCCAAAAAGCAAAATAATATACAGAGAGACATGCAAATTACAGACTCTGAAAAATATAAGTTCATTAAAATTTCCTGAGTTGTCCTTTAAGCCAGTTAGACCCCAATGGTGGTGAACTATACTTTAAAACATTTTCCACCATATAAGTAAGAACAGGAGAAATGCAGTCCTTTAAATAACAGAGGGAATATTATTGAAGATGAAGGGTGGAATGGTATGAAAATTGTGTTTTAATATTTCTTCTTATTAGCAAGCAAGCAACATACAAACAGTTTTAGATAGGATGTATTTTTATTGATAAGCTATTAATCTTTTGAACTACATTCAGTTTTGCACATTTTTATTGCATAGTTTTTAAAACATAACAAATTTATTGCTACTTTTGCTCTCTGTGACTTGAAGAAAATATAGTGGGAATAACCCTGTAAACACTCTAATCAAGAACTGTTGTGCCACTTTGAAGTTCAATGTGACACCTACCTAGCACAAGATTGGTGGTGATTATTCACTTAAAAGTGTTATTGGAAGTAATTATCCCAGAGGGCAGGATCCTGCTTTTGGAAAGTACTGTCAAATTCCTATCAGTCATTCTCACAAACATTTGAAGCAGTATGGACTGGTTGTTTTAAGAATATGTGGATTCAGATGGCATTGATTTCTATTTTCAGGCAAAGTGGGTTTCCCATGAGCTGTGAGAAGGCTTCTGGGCTGTTTTGAACGTGCATATTGATCAAGTGGAAAGAATGGCCCAGGTTCTGCATATGGGGACTGCTTTCCCAGGTAGGTCTGTATGAAGACTACTTTTGAACAGAGAGCATCAGCAGATGGCACTGGGCATCCTTTGTGACAATGCAGATAGTAATCTTAGATCACATTGCCCCGTTCAATCTCTGAATTATTCTCACTGAAAGTTCTTTTATTTCGTATCATGGGAAGGATTCAATCAGTGGGATATAGTTCTGTTTCTTGTGCATGTTTCCACTTGATGCCTGTAAATACAGTTGGATTTAGTGATATAATACAGTATTTATAGAATACAGGTAGTCCTCTTTTAGTGACCACAGTTAGAGCTGCTAATTCTATTTATTTATTTATTTATTTATTTATTTATTTATTTATTTATTTATTTGTTTGTTTATTTGTTTATTTATTTATTAAATTTTTATACCGCCCTTCTCCCGAAGGACTAATATGGTAGTGTACAGCCATATTAAAACCACATATACCTATAAATTTTAAAAACAGTTTAAAATATATTAGAAATGTGGCCCTTATATTAAAAACTACAAACACCCGATTAAAATTCATTTTCTAAGCCTGCCCAGCCTATTGAAACAATAGAGTCCTAAGGGCACGGCGAAAGGTACATAGGTCGGGGATCGTGCGCATCTCCGGGGGCAATTCATTCCAGAGGGCAGGTGCCCCCACAGAGAAGGCTCTCCCCCTGGGTGTCGCCAGTCAACATTGTTTGACCGACGGCACCCTGAGGAGTCCCTCTCTGTGGGAGGGTATTGGCCGGTGGGAGGCTATCGTTGGCAGAAGGCGATCTCGTACATACCCAGGTCCTAAGCCATGGAGCGCATTAAAGGTGGTGACCAACACCTTAAATCGCACCCGGAGGACCACCGGGAGCCAGTGCAGCTTGCGCAGGAGAGGTATTACATGGGTGCGCCGTGTCGCTCCCATAATCACCCAGCATTCTGGACCAGTTGGAGCCTCCGAGTGCTCTTCAAGGGGAGCCCCATGTAGAGAGCATTACAGTAGTCCAGACGGGACATGATAAGGGCATGAGTGACTGTGCGCAAGGTGTCCCGGTCCAGAATTGTTAAGTGATACTTCTACTGTTCTTATAATCCCACTTCAGCTTTCCTTTGCCTTACAAACCTGAAAAGGTTGTAAATGCAAGAACTGATCACAAAGTTACTTTTCATCATTATCATAACTGAACAGTTACTAAATTGTTAAATGAGAACTGCCTGTATATTAGTAGTTCCAGAATATAAGTTGGGAATCAAAGTATTTCCTGATGAAAAGCAAAAATAGGGGAGGGACACAAGTAGAAATAATTCTGGCCAGACCACTAAATTAAGATTTCATAAACAATAAAAATCTCATTCTAGGAACCCCTAAATGCTATATAGATTTGGTGACTCAATGGTTAAAGTGTAGTATTGCAAACTAATTCAGCCTACAGCCTGGAGTTTGATCCTGCTAAGGCTCAAGGTTGGTTCAGCCTTCCATCTTTCCAAAGTCAGTAAAATGAGGACCCAGATTGTTGGGGGCAATGTGCAAATAATGCTTCTGCATTGTAAACCACCCAGAGAATGCTGTAAAGTGCTATGGGGCGGTATATAAAATTAAATGCTGTTGCTACTGCTATCTGTTTCATCTATGGATTAGAGAAAAGGGGTTTGAAGAAAGTCTTGGTTAAAAGAATAAAATTGTTTTCAAACCAAGTTCTATCTACATTTCTGTAACCAGCTAGATGCCCAAATATGGCAATTTAAGAAGTGCATTTAAGGTCAGTTTACAATAAGAGCTAGCTAATAGTATCCATTCCCTGTTTCTATCCAGCATTTTAGAAATACTGACTCTGGAACACTTTTTGTATTCTTCTAGAATACTGTATATGCACATGCAGAACACTAACATATTTTTGGCATACAGTATTTGAATACCTTTTGGAACAAACAACAATGAAAGAATAATGCCCCCCCCCCATCACTGTCCTCTGAGCTAATCATTGGAACTATGGAAAAAAGTTATCAGGGCTGCTGAAAGATCTGTGGACCACAAAGAAGGGCATAGAGTTGCCTGTGAACTAAGAATTGCCCACACATGGAGCATTATACATGCAAGCTCTATTTTCTTATATTATGTCAGTACTGAGGTAGGATGAGATGCTATGACACTTGATATGAGACTATAGAATAAAGGCATCAAACTCTTTCAGATGTAGCTTTGCAATCAATTAATGAGGCTTGTTGGTTTGGCAGTCAGATCCAAATAATGCAAAATTGGGAAAAATATAGAGTTCCTATTTACTGGTTACAAGTACTCTATTTCATTCAGAAGTTGTGGGAGCTTCATCACTGGAAGCTTTCCAAAAGAGACTGGACTGCCGTCTCTCAGAATTAACAGAATAACAGAGTTGTAAGAGCTGAAATGGTGTAGGGTCTCCTGGGTGGGGTTGGACTAGATGACTTACCTACAAGGTCCCTTACAACTCTGTTATTCTGTTATTTGATTTAAACTAGTCCCCCCCCCGCCCTTGTTTGAGGAGAGCTATTTTGATGCAATAGGCAGACTTAAAAAATACTTAATTGATTCTAAGCTAATTTTTCTCATAGAATGGAAATAGGAGACAATTGGAGCTAGGTCTATGATTTCATTTATCTATGCTGAGATCAGCCAATACATGCCATGATATGCAAAACATTCATTATTCATTATTGCAAGGGCCTGGTGGCTCAGCAGACTGATAGCATTGTGATTAACACCAGCTGCCTGCAATTACTGTAAGTTCGAATCTCACCAGGCTCAAGGTTGACTCAGCCTTCCATCCTTTCTAAGGTAGGTTAAATGAGGACCCAGTTTGTGGGGGCAATAAGCTGACTTTGTATAAATATACAAAAGTATGAAGGCTATTGCTTAATGCATTGTAAGCCGCCCTGAGTCTCCAGAGAAGGGCGGCATATAAATCAAATTTTTTTAAAAAAATTATTCAACTAGGTCACCCAGCCTTTCTGTGGTCTTTTATGCACATCCTCAACCTTGACAGAAAAGTGTTCCAAACTGATCTTTCTCTTTTTTGTTTTGAAGGAAAGGTCAATCCAGCCTCTACTACAATCTTCCATGGGAAGGAGCAAGATTTAACTTACTCGGTGGAGACTCCTTATGGCTACCGTCTTGATCTGGACTTTCTCAAATATGTGGATGATATTGAGAAGGGCCACACTATTAAGCGCATTCCAGTTCATCGCCGACCACGTTACAGCTCATTGCCCCGAGGCTATGGCTACACTGGTTCATGGTGGACATCCACTGAGTCCCTCTGTTCCAATGCCAGTATGGACAGTCGCCATTCCTCTTATTCTTATTGTGGCCGTAGCTTCTACCCACAGTACACTAATGCAATTCATAGCAATTTCAATGCCCGTGTGGAGAAAACTTTGCTGGATGCTAGAAAGAAGTTAGAAGACCAGGCAGACCTAGATGGGGAAACTCCCACAACAAGTAGTCTAGGAAGTCTCCACAGCAGTGTATCTGGATCAACAAATTCTTTGGTTGGAAGCCAGAGTATTTCCCATCAAACGTCTTACAATGGCTCACACCAAGGTGCTCCTGGACAATTCACACCAATTGGTTCTGGGTTGTCCACTCCAGTCTCACCAACTCCAGGACATCTTCAATATGTTCGTGAGCAGATGGCTGTGGCTTTGAAGAAGTTGCGCCAATTGGAAGAACAGGTCAAGATGATCCCAGTCCTTCAGGTGAAGATCTCAGTGTTACAGGAAGAGAAAAGGCAGCTAAGTGTTCAGCTTAAAAGCCAGAAGTTCTTGGGGCACGCAGGAGGATTTGGCAAGGGCAAATCACGAGGGGAGCTCTACATAGACATCCCTGAAGAGGAGGCAGGCAGAAATACAGAGGACAGCAGTACCAGGCCTGACATGAAGGGTAAATTGGATAAGAAGGAAGTGAAGTCAGTGGGTGTGGGAAGCACAGTTGAAGATGGAGAAATGAATGTGAACATGGGAAGATGTGACATAGGGGTAGCAGTCAAGGAGGAGGAATTGGGATTGCCTTCCCCAGAAGTAGAGCAGCAATGCCAAGCTATTCAGACCCTATCTACCAAAATTGCTGTATTAGAAACACAATTGAAGAGAGCACTTCAAGATCTCCAAGCTGCCCATCAGAAATTGGAGCATCAAGGCAGGGAGAAGAAAGACAAAGAAACTTCGACAAGAGATGAGGACCTGATAGAATGGGAAGCAAGGGGAGAAGGTGCCCAGCAGTGGGATGCCCCCATTCGGGTTGATGCAGTCAAAGTTGTCCAAGTGGAAAGGGAGCCAGAGATCACAGCCAGCATAGCTACCGGGCCTCAGAGGGCACAGGTCTTGGAGAGCAAGGAGTCCTATGCCAGCCTCCGGCCTTCAGCAGGCAAAGATTCAGTCTCTGAGAAAGTTCAGGTGCCACTTTGTGCCACATACCACAGCAGTGAGGTGATGGAAACCGCTTTCCCAATTCATGCTGGAGCAGCAAACACAGCCACCACCTTTCACTCTGTGAAAAAGATCAGCATTGTCAACACAGAAGAGGATGGGGATGGAAAGAAAGAAACAAGAGGTAAGGAATAAGGAAAGTAAACTAGCCTTGATTTGATTTCAGGGGAGCAAAACCCGTTTACCCAGACAAGATTACTCAGTTCAGTTTCTTCAGTTACTTTAATACCAGTTGCAGAGATACTGTACATATCAAGACAATAAGACAGAGAAGTAAAAGAGTAAAGAAGAAGAAAAATATTAACTAAACAATAAAATAAAATAAAAATGATATAATTCTAGTACTATGAGTACAGGTACTCCTCGACTTACAACAGTTCATTTAATGACAGTTTGAAATTATAATGGCTTACGATCATTGCAGCATCCCCACAGTCACGTGATCAAAATTCAGATGCTTGGCAACTAGTTCATATTTATGACAGTTGCCGTGTTCTGCGGTCATGAAATTAGCTTTTGAGAACTTCTGACAAGCAAAGTCAATGGGGAAGCCAGATTCACTTAACAACTGTCTTATTAACTTAACAAATGCAATGATTCACTTAACTGTGGCAAGTAAAGTCGTAAAATGGGGCAAAATTCACTTAACAATGTTTCACTTAGCAACAACAATGTTTGACTCAATTGTGGTCATAACTTGAGGACTACCTCAACAGCCAAAACTTAGCCCAAAGCAGGGGTGAAATCTAAAAATTTTCCCTACCAGTTCTATGGGCGTGGCTTAATTGGTGGATGTGGCTTGGTGATAAGGTGACCAGGTGGGCGTGGCCAATAATAATAAATAATAAAAATAATAAACAAAGTACACAAAACAATAAGAAGTACCAAAAACCAACTTTCACACTTTACACACACAACAACTGACTCACACACAATGTAAAAGCAGCTGCACTTGACTCCAAATGGCCCCTGCAACAAGCAGGAACCTCACATAGCCACAAAAAGCTCAAAAACCAACTTTCACACTTTTTCCACACAAAATGCCACATACAGTTTTGTGAGATTTTGTATGTTTGTGTAGTGAAACACTACAGAAACACACTAAATCTCAGAAAGCTGCAGAAATATTTTATTTTATTATTTTATTTTATTTATATTTTTAGATAAAATCAGCTAAATTTAAAACTTCCTTAAGTTTTTTTTTTAGTTTAAATTTAAGTTTAAATTGTTATGTCTAAAAAAAAACTCCTAAAAAAAACCAATTAACTTTTTTTAAAGCTCCCCCCACCCCAAAATACCCCAGTTACTTACCTAATTGAAAGCACAAGGCAGGCAGATTCAGTTGCTAGCTGATGCAATTGATTGCAGGGATTGCAGCAGGCGAAGCAAGGCTGGAAAAGCGAGCAAGCAGGAAAGAAGCAGTCAAATGGGTGACCGGGCGATTAGATGAGCATGGGCGGAGGTGGGGGGGAGGGATTTTTGCTACCGGTTCTCAGAACCACCCGCCGCCATCACTACTGGATCGGCTGATCCGGTCCAAACCGGGAGCATTTCACCCCTGGCCCAAAGTTAATTTGACATTAAAAATTCAAATGTAAACTTGTGGCCCCATTTTCTACCAGCAGCTTTTCTACTGTATTCACTTTGCAATTCCATGTCAAGGATTCTTTGTCTAAGAGTTGCTGTGGCCTGTTCTCGTTCCAGTGTCAGCAGTACATCTGTGTAAAGCCCTATTTATGAATTTTACCTTCAATTTGGTAGATACAGTATATTGAACAGATAGACTGAACAAAATAAGAGAAGTCAAACCTTGTAGTTAAAAATTAATCTTTAACCAGTATTTAAATATACATAGCCATGTCCTTGTTTCATTTGCCTACAGCCGAGGTTCCAGCCATAGGCTGCACTAGAAACAGGATTTTGCCATGAGGCAATGCATCTTTCTCTTCACTTTCTCAAGCAAGGTTGCATTACAATATTTTATTTTATTATTTTATTTATCAAATTTAGAGACTGCTTATCCATTCACAGAGGACAATGTACAATTAAAAATATAAAAACCATATAAATATCATATATCAATAAGATGTGATATTTAGGCAATTTAGGGAATAAATTAAAGGTAAAAGTGGGGAGCCCTTCTAGACAATTAGCCAACCCCAAAGTTGCTACTCCCCTTCAAGTCAGGCCCAAGGAAGTCAGCAGAGCCAGATCTTCAAACTCTTCTGAAAGGCCAGGAGTGTGGGAGCCTGCCTTGTTCTGGGGCAAGGGTAGATATTTTACTTATCTATTTTCTAACTGGAATCTTACCCTATAAAAAGTTTATTCTATAAAAGGTAAGATATGTAATGACTATACTTTCAATTCATGCACATAATGTTTAAAAGGACACATAGCACTATATTAAATTAAAGTCAGTTTATATCTGGACCTATTAAAAATAGCCAGGACAAAAGACTTGGCAGGATTTCCATAGTCTTTAGAGAGATAAAAAATTCTGGCAGAATCCTCTTGTCAAAGCCGGGAGAAAAATATTAATGTCTGACTTGCAAATTTATGGCAAAATTCAACTATTTTCTCACACAACTCTAATCTTAAAAGAAGCATTCATTGACTTTTTGGCCACAATTTATAGTAGGAGCAGAACAGAAAGGCAGTTTTAAAATAGTCCGTGAAATTCCCAGTGGGGATGTCAAAAATTCTTAGCAAAAAGATTATTGGAAGCTGAAGTTATGATGAAGATAAGCTAAAGTTTCCTTGGTCCAATAGAACCTACGGGGTGGGCCAGAAGTGCTTCCTCAGGCTCAGAACTAGATTGAGCACCAAATCTCTGGAGGACCCAACTCTCCCTCACAATTCTTTTCTTAGCTCTCTGCTGGTACTTGGTGCGTTCTTAACTCTGCATGTGGAAATCACAGCAGAATCTCCAGTGTGAGGTGGAAGTTAACTCTGGTCCCTTGGGATGAGTGGACTACATTCTTGGCATCAGGACCTGGATAAACATTGTGAGCTTTTCCAGCTATTGCAGAGTTACAACATGAAAGCCAACTGAGCCTTCGTGGATCAATGAATGCCTTTAGGGTGTTTCGCTAAGATCTTATTTGTCTGAGCTTCTTCCTGCTGCAGTTGTACAGTTGATTGCAGAAAGGGACTTGTTTTTAGAGTAGTGGGTGTTGCTTGTGGAATAGCTGCATTGCTTGGGGTCTATTGCAACGGGTGGTCTGCAGAGTGATAGAAAAGATATTCACCCCACTCCTTTAATCCATGCCGTGATGTGGGTAACAAGACTAAAAGAAAACAATTCCTAAAATAACTCATGACTTGATGTAAGTTTCTTCCGGTGGTTGCTGAATGGAAATTGTAGACAAAGGCAAGGAGATGATCATGTAAGGTCCCAAAATGTACTTGAGTCACCAGAATGCCAAAGAGAGAGTCTCAAGAAGAGGCTTGGAAAAAGTAACAGCTTTTATTTGTACAAAGGAGAGCTGGGTAGACCATACCACAACATACAGACAAAGAGCATGCAGTGAAAGGCCACACCTTGGGGAAGGTATGGCATCCTTTTATACCTTCAGAGACATCAGCTTAGTACCCAGTTCTGGTGCCCTGGCCCATGTCTTCCTTGTAGCCCTGCATTGGCTGTGCAGCAAGGAACAGGGGGGCTGAGTGCTTAGCAACACAGGTATTTGCCCGTTGTAACCCTGCCAGGCCATGACATACCCCACACCAGGCTTTTTGTGTTGTACACAAAAACAATATAACAGGAGTTAGATCTCTGGTAGAAGTAAATGGCGGTGACAATTCTAATTCTTACAAAAGTGAAATAGCAAGTTATTATTATGTCCCAGTAATACTATCTATTCTACTATTATTATGTCCCTTCAATAGCCTTAATTAAACCAGCAATCACTGGTGAACACATTATTTTCCTGAGATGTTGAATTAAAACTAAAGACTCCCTCAAGTGAAGTTTAATTTCTGGTGACTATTTGGAGAAATACATCTAAATGCTTGAAAACAATACAGAAGTGATTTACCATTGTCTTCAAGGATTTTTTCCTGCCAATTTCTCAGTCTTGCATTCAGGCATGGGATTTCCTAGTGATCTTTTGATGTGCCTTTTTTTAAGATCAGCTAAAATTGCCTACGTGTTGTCACCTGCTGAGTGGAATGTTTAATTGTTTATCTATTTATTCTCCTAATATCTTTCGACTCTCTGTCCCTAATGTCACAAAGAACTAAACTGTTATTACTTATTGTTAGTTTCTCTATATTCTTCCAGCTAGAACCATGGCTTCTTTTAAAATTGCCAGTGCCTGTTATGATTAAATGTAAATCTATAGAATTCACTCCAAGATACAACTTAAGAGAAAACTGAAACAAAATGTTTTATAGGTTCAGTCAGTAATTGCCAAGATAACCACATCATATGGTAAAAAATACTAGAAATGTAATGATACAGAAGGAACATTTTATCATATGTGATGGAGTTGTAAAAAGTTCAAAAATACTGGAAAGAAATATACATAAAATTTTAGAAAACAAATTTGAATTAAAACCACATTTTGTTTTTAGTAGATGTAATTCCAAGACATTTTAACAAAAAATGCTACAGTTTACAAAGATGCATGTTCATAGCTGGGAGGATAAACCTAGCAGAGCATTGGAAAACAAACCTGGAGATTATGCAGCAATGGCAAAATTGAAATCAGTGGTGGTGGCAGCGATCAGCGGCGATCGGTGGCGGTAATTCCCACCACCTAGAACAGCTTATCGGCAGTATTCCGGGAAGCCAATCCAACTGCCAATCAGCTGCTCAGTAGCAAAGACTCCAGCATTCCCTGGCAGTAGTGAACGGCGGCAGCAGGCCCCCCTCCCCCCACTGCAATATTCGCTCTATAAGATACATAGACATTTCCACCCACTTTTTTTGAGGGGGGAAGTGTGAAAAATACAGTGATAAATTATGCAGCAAACCTATGCATTTAGAGAACGGTTTTTAAGAGAGGAAAACCATCCAAGAACCTGACTGAATGAGTAAGTAAAATATAATAAATAAAACAATCACTTAAGGAGCATTATATCCAGGGTCTCCAACATGATGCTTGACTGAATGTGTCCATTAATATTTTCCTTGACATCCCCCAAGATATAGTTGAAATTATTGTTTATATTAGCAAATTAATTTTTAAAAAGGAGGGAGGAGAACTGCCCTGTCTAAGCAAAACTCCACTCTTCTGGATTGATTTTTCAATATTTGGCCCCTAATGGGCTTTATAAACTTTCTTGTGACTGCAGTCAAGTTTACTTTGGAAATGCACCAACTGTGTTGAAAAAAAGACAATAGCAGGGAGTATCCCGTGGCAGAGGTGATTTGGATGGGAAGTTAAGCAGTCTGATTCTGCTGACCCCATTATGTGATTGTGCAAGCTCCTCAGCAGCCATTGGTAAAAATGCAGATGTTATTATTTACAGAACTCCAAATGTGATACCATCCCAAAAGGGAGACTATATTAGCTATTCTAACGGTGGGTGAGCACCTGTTAAACTGGAGGCATAAGCTCCAATTTAATCATCAAAGGGTGATCTTCAGGAAACTGGATGAAATAGCAATCTTCACAGAGGAGCCAAGATAAGCTTACATATTGGGCGTAGCCTGAAAGATAATTGACTGCAAGTTTCTTTTATTCTTTTTTCCCATATAACTCTACTATTCATTCACAGAACACACAATACTTTTGATTATGCTATTTCTTTCAAGATCAACATGTGTCTATGTTTTCTACAAATTCTTATGATGTTGTGAACTTGTGAATGATGGTTTAAAAAATCATATCTTAATACAGGGGTCCTCAAACTTTTTAAACAGGGGGCCAATTCACGGTCCCTCAGACAGTTGGGGGGCCAGATCGGCTGGGTGGGCGTGGCTAGGTGGGCATGTGACTAGGTGGGCATGGCTAGATCATGTGACTAGGTGGGTGTGGCCAATTTAACAGTCCATTGAACAATGCGCAGAAATTAAACTTTAATTTGTTTTGCTCCTGGGGGTGTTTCATTTCCTTTTGTTTGCATGTTGCTCTTTTGGTTGCCTTTTCTTTTTACTAGATTGTTTTTTCAGTTGTTTAGGAGTCTAGTGGTCCACTTCAGGAAACTCAGTTTTGCAGCAATTCTTCTCAGCCCCAAGGAGCTTGAGAAATCTCTCTATGTCTCTATCTCTTTGTCTCTCTTTCTCTCTCTCTCTCTCTCTTTCCTTCTCTTTCTCTTTTTTCCTCTCTCTCCCTCTCTCTCTCTTTCTTTTTCTTTCTGTCTCTGTCTCTCTTTCTTTCTCTCTCTCTCTCTCTTTCTCACTTTCTCTCTCTCTCTCTCTTTCTCTCTCCTCTCTTTCTTTCTCTTTCTCTCTATCTCTCTTTCTTTCTCTCTCCCTCTCTTTCTCTTTCCCCCTCTCTCTTTCTTTCTCTCCCTCCCTCCCTCTCTCTTTCTGTCTCTCTCTCTCTCCCTCTCTGTTTCTCTCTCTCTCTCTCTCTCTTTCTGTCTGTCTGTCTCTCTCTCTGTCTATCTCTATCTTCTGGAGGCAGGGAAGGTGAAAAATGGCCTGTTTTTGCCTGGTTTTTTGCCTCCTTAACACCCCCCACCTCCACAAGCATTCTGCAGGCCAAAATTGTTGAGCTTACCATTCAGTTCCAGGTCGCAGGGCTCTCAAAGGCAAGTCCTGCGCTCTGCTGAAGGGTGGGCGGGGCGATGGGGGGGGGGCAACCTCGTGGTGCTCCGCGGGCCGGATTAATTGCTTCAGTGGGCCACATGCGACCCATGGGCCGTAGTTTGAAGACCTATGGCTTAATATAATGAGGGTAAAATCCTTGTGTATAAAGAAAAGTTCCATAAAGGTGTTCTCAACTTACAACCATTTGTTTAGTAACTGTTCAAAGTTACAACAGCACTGAAAAAGTGACTTATCACTAATTTTCACACTTACGTCCATTGCAGCAATCACGTGGTCACATGATCAAAATTCAGACTCTTGCCAAGTGGCATGTATTTATGACGGTTGCAGTGTCCCCAGGCCATGTAATAATTTTTTGCGACCTGCTGACACGCAATGTCAATGGGGAAGCCAGATTCACTTAACAACTGCATTACTAACAACTACAGTGATTCATTTAACAACTGTGGCAATAAAGATCGTAAAGTGGGGCAAAACTCATTTACCAACTGTCTTGCTTAGCAATGGAAATTTTGGGCTCAGTGGTGGTTGTACATTGAGAACTACCTATATACATTGTTTCCTATTTTCCAGGCTTGGAATTTTAAGTTACTATATGGCACTTGGCCAGGTTGTAATGAAGCCATGTATTCTACTGCATACATGGAACAATATTGCATTCCTTAATGTGAACTCACAAAATAGCAATATTGATACTTCATAATCAAAGTATCAAAAAGACATCTAAGGGGCAGCAATCTGTTGCCATTCTCCTGTTTCAGAGACCAAAGAATCACTAGAGAAAACTGAAGATTCCCTTCTTGACTCCCTCCAAGGAGAACAGGTGGTTCCTTGCGTTTCTCAAGAATCTAAATTGGATGTGCAGAAGGAGGAAGAGGATCAAGGTAAGAAGGTGGGGTGGAGAAAGGTGCCATGGAATTCTCTGACAAGCTAATGTTACTACCTTCCTTTGTTTCTCCATAGCTTCATCCACTGCAGGGATCTGGTCAATTATGAAGAAGAAGGAAGAACCTAGAGAAATACTGACTAGCAAGAAGAGCCTCCAGTTTGTGGGTGTCAATGGAGGGTAAATCTCAGTTTCAGAATTATAAAGAAAATGAGAAGCTCCCAATTCATCCCTCAATTCCTTAATCGAGGTAGTAAGGCATACAGGTCCATAGCAGCAGACTCCTATCTTGTTTGCTTCCATAACCTTTAATTTGGAATTCAGAGAAGCAATCTTCACCTCAAAGAAATGCAACAACTGAACAATTGTCAGAGTTTGCCTAGGAGTCCTATCATAATCTATCACTGGGAGGGAGCTCTACTTATCCTTGCTACTTTTATTGTAAATTGCCATTTGCACCAAGACAGGTTTCCATTGTCCAGGGGTGGGTTCTACTTACCTTTATTACCGGTTTGCAATGGGGCCACGCATGCGCAAAACCTTCTTGATGACATTGGGGTTTGTGGGCGGAGCCTCCTGCCGGTTTTACTACTGGTTCTATAGAACCAGTCTGAACCAGGGACAACCCACCTTTGCCATTGTCCCATTGTGGCCTGCAAGATCCCAAATCACCTGGCATCCCTGAAGTTCTCCATTCTGAAGTACAGTGGTAGCACACAGTCAGGGTTTGCCATAGTGTCTCGCTGTTCTGAAGAGAATCTGGAGTACTTTCTCAGGTTTCTTTTGGCTTGCTTCTCAACCCTGTGTTGTTTCAGGTATGAGTCTACCTCCTCTGAGGATTCCAGTACAGCTGAGAACGTATCAGACAATGAAAGCACTGAGAGTGAATACCATGAGGCAAGTGAGGGCCTCCCTGCGGGGCAGGGAATTGTAGCTGAAGCTCCAAAGCTTTCTGGAATAACCACAGATACACTACATCCTGGAGTCCCTGTCGAGGTGGGGAAAATAACCACAGCAGAAAGTCCCAGCAAGGAACCAGCAAGAAAAACTGGGTAATCATCAGTTTGGACATCTTCAGAGCTCTTGAGAGTCTGCACTGTGCACTGTGTGCTTTACATAGCCATTAATTCCACTCCTCAACTTTTTAGAAGTAATTTAAAGCTGACCTGCACCTATTATCATACTCTCCTGACCCCAAACTCCCCCCTCCAAAAAAACCCTGCTAAAATTGCACTATTATTATTTGATAACAAGATATGTGAGCATCACAAAGTGGTGTTTCCCTGCTTTACCCAGTGCCCAGCCCTGAAAACAGTTTCAGAGTTCTTTTCTTCTTGAGTAAAATAACTCTCTCCATACATTGTATTGTAAAGGTAGTAATGGTTGTTGCAGAACTGTCATTGAATTATAACCCTGAACTAGCACAAAACAGAATACTTCACTGTAAATTCTGTCTCTATTTATTTTCCCTGTCAGAGGAGCTTCCTAAAGTAATGCTAAACCACGATTTAGGATTATTGCTCTATGTAATCTTGAACAAAAACTTGGTTGATATATTCCTCTTCTTTCTCCCCCTTCCACTTGATTTACAGCACACTTCCAATGAATTACTAAACAAGCTGACCGCAAACTAAATTAGAATGCTGACTGGTTTTAAAATAAACATTTTTTCCCCTTCAATTGTGTCTGATTTTCAGACCTGTCAATTCCTGCAGTTTTCTTGGCAAGGTTTTTCAGAAATGGTTTGCCATTCCTCCTTTTCTAGAGCTGAGAGAGTGACTGACCCAGGGCTACCCAGCTGGCTTTGTGCCTAAGACAGGATTAGAAATCACAGTCTCCTGTTTCTGTTCTGGCACCTTAATACAGTACTACACCAAACTGGCATAACAAATAAGCATAATTTGTTTCAAAACACAGGATCTTGTTCAAAGTTAAAAAAACAACACAAAACCATAAGAAGTGAAAATGAATCCTGCTTAACTCTTCCTTATAATAACCAATTTTGTTGTATACATGATGCACAATGACAATAAAGGCTATACTATACTATAGCCCTGAAAAAAGAAAAGTGAGGAGAGGACAAAAACCCAGCTTTCTACACACAATACTAAATACTAACATCAATAATATATGTAAAAGCAGACAGGAGCTAAAATGTCCCTCTTTTTCTCTCTCTCTCTCTTTTGATTACCAGATTGCGTCTCAGCAAGGAGTTGCTTTCAGCTTGTGCAGTTCTTCAGAAATACTTAGAGAGTTTGAATCCACAAATGGATGGAGAGACGGTACACATTTATTTCTAAAGTTGGGGTGGATATATAGATAAAATAGCGTCTGCTGGTACCCTGCTGATACCATTTGCCAGAAGATGATAAGCAATGGAAATACTGAAAAAGCACAGAGCATTCAGCCATGAAGACAGAATGCAAAAATGGGCCCTAACAATTTCTTACCTACCTCTCCTGTTATTTCTTATATGTACCCTGGCAGAAATTAGCCTATACCTCAATGCTCCACTATTGGCTCAAGCTTTCCTGCCACAAAGAAGCCGATCCAGAGTTGATCTCGCTGCACTTGACAGATTTCCGGACTGTTTCCCCGCAGTTGCTAGAATTCATCATCAATATGGCGGATGCTAATGGCAACACGGCCCTGCATTACACAGTCTCGCATTCCAACTTCCCCCTTGTTGCAAAGCTGCTTGAAACTGGTAGGTGGGGACAGAAGAAAAGGAGGGAGCCCTTCGTCAGAATAGCCCATCTAAATGAACAGCAATAGCAGTCCAGGGCAGTCCATTTGCCAGGGCACTTGGGGCTCTAGAGTCTAGGGCATCTTTAAAGCCACAGGAGCCAAAGATCGGAAGGCAGGCTGGTGAGGAAAGTTTGAATTCTGAGAATGTGTTGGGTTGCTGTCATGGACAAAATGATTTGCCAACTTAAAAAATAATTCCCATAGGTTATTTGACAGAGTTGCCACATTGACATAACTTGCAGAGATTGGTACCTGATTTTAACCTCCCAGGAAGGTTTCTCCTCTCCTAATTTAACTTTGACTCCCATCCCCACCCAAGGTAGACTTGGCAGATTTCCAATCAAACCCTGAATTTCAGCCTTTCTAACTTTTGTTTTCCGAAAAGCCTATGGAGCAGTCTTGGATCCAAAGACATCTTTTGAAATAAATATGAAGCAATTGGTTGGCATTTTGCCTCACCGCGTATTTACTTTTCTCTTCATATTTTAAATTAGGAGAATCTTATTTAAAAAGTTAAATGATGCAGAAAACCTGCTATGAACCAGGGAACCTTCTGCAGGCACCCTGTGGCATGCACTGGTTTTGCATTAAGGCTTGTACCTGGATATATTTGCATTCAACATACTTCCATCCTCCATGGAATTTAGCACCCTATGAAGTAAAAGAGGCTGAAGGGAAAGAGACTCATGAAGACCAGTGGTGGGTTCCTCCCAGTTCGGCCCGGTTCTCCCGAGCCGGTAGCGGTGACGATATGACGTCACCGAACCGGTTCTGCCCCCGCCACCCCCCTGTGCCCCCCAATATTCTTACCTTTTATTTGGCCCCACCCCCAATTTATTGCTGTCTCCTGAGTCCCAGCTGATGGCTAGAGGGAAAAAAACTGTTTAAACTCTTGCGCAGGGCTTCAAAGGGCCGCCCTACAGCTGATCAGTGTTAAAAGAAAACAAATGAGTAGACCAGTGCCTGCAAAAATACATGAGTAGATCAGTGCCTGCAAAAATAAATGGGTAGTTCGGTACAGCTCTGCAAGCAGTTAAAAGCCTGGTAGACCAGTACCTCTGCTAAATCCTGAAGAATTGTCACATGACCATCAAGCCACGCCCACAAAATAAGCACACCCACAGAACCGGTAGTAAAAAATTTTAGAACCCACCCCTGATCAAGACCACTCAATGTAAATGTGTAAGGCTGAATGTCCCAATTCACAGACCAATGCTCTGGCCACAGCAGCACACCAGTCTATCAGTGAGAACCTGGAGGGCTGGAACTTTGTCAGGAAAGGGTTAGGTCTAATGCAAGGAGTGAGGATTTTTCCAAAAACAGTACAAGTAGGTGCTCCATCACTGGAGGTTTTTAAGAGGAGACTGATAGCCACATGTCTGAAATTGTATAGGGTCTCCCGCTTGAGCAGGCGGCAGGACTAGAAGACGTCCTTCCAGCTCTATTCTGATTGATTGATATTTAGAAGATGATTATAAGGCCAACTATTTGGGAAACCCGGAGGAAAGATGTAGGGTTATGTCAGGAGGGCAGTATTCCCAGCATAGTGTCTCCTGACATAATCCTACCCCCGGGATGGCGAACCTATGGCACACATGTGTGTGCCGGCCAGCTGATTTTTGGGCCTTCTGGGCCCACCAGAAGTCAGGAAAACGCTGTTTCTTGACTCTGGAGGGCCTCTGGGGTGGGGGAGGCCGTTTTTGCCCTCCCCAGGCTCCTAGAAAGGCTCTGGAGCATGGGGAGAGTGAAAAACGGGCCTACCGGGCCCACCATGCCATCACATGCCAAAAGCAGGGGGGAGCACGGGGGGGCAGGACACATAGAATTATGGATGTGGGCACGCGTGCGTGTGACTCCTTTGCGCTCCCCCCGCTTTTGGCATGTGATAGCAAAAAGCTTAGCCATCACTGCCCTACACCTTTCCGTACACTTAAAGAAATCTTTGCATATTTCTCTGATGTTACCAATTGTTTAGTATATATTTCTCTATGTGAAATGTACTATCATATTTGATCTTCCCTAAAATGTCTTTATCACGTTTGGGTTCAAAATAGAGTTTTCATAGATTTTGACCAAAGAAAGGCAGATAATAGTGGACTCTTTCCAGTAACTTCCCTGTTTATGATATCTCTTTCCTTAGAGACATTATAAACAAATTTTACTACTGCTTCCCAGAGCTCATTTGAAATTGTGGAACCCACAATATTCAAATATTTATTTCCAGAAGGATGAGTTTTTCTAATACTGTCTTGTTATTCTAGGTTTGTGTCACGTGGACCAACAAAACAAAGCTGGCTATACAGCCATCATGCTCACAGCACTGGCTGCCTCCCAGACAGAGAGTGACATGGGGACTATTATGCAGCTACTGAAAAAGGGCAATGTGAATGCCAAAGCCAGTCAGGTACTAACATTCCCAATAGATTCTTGCAAAATTGGAGGGGCCATGATGAAGATGATGGTGACAACCAGAAAGTAGTAATCATACTCTCACATGAGTACATGGAAATTGTTCAAAAACTTTTAAAATGCTGTTAACTGGCTGCAGTAGATATACAAAATTTTAATAGAGTTCGTGCAGCTTCAATATTTTAGATTGTTCTTAATACACATGGTTTTTAAGAGCTAGGCATTGCAACAGGCTTTTCCCTATTCTGCATTTGGCAGCCCCTTAACTTCTTTGGTTTTCCTCCCCATTCCTACAGGCTGGGCAGACTGCATTGATGTTAGCTGTCAGCCATGGGCGTCTCGAGATGGTACGTGCCTTGTTAGCAAGTGCAGCAGATGTCAACTTGCAAGATGATGATGGCTCTACTGCACTGATGTGTGCCTGTGAACATGGCCATGCTGAGATTGTCCGCCTGCTATTGGCTACCCCTGAGTGTGATGTTGCCCAGTCAGACAATGTAAGTCCTGCTTATACTTATGCTGCTGCTGTTGAGTTTGTTAGGTTGTCTTCCATCTCAGAGCCCATAGCAAAAACTCTGCACAATAGATTTCATTCAGTTCCCCAGGAAAGTAACAAGTCTTACTCAGTGCCAAGATTTAGTCCTGGACTATTTGAAACACTTAGTAATTATTTCTTATCATTGAATAACCGCAGCTCAATCTTAGGGGAAAAAAAGAGAAAGAAAGAGGCAGGGCATATTGAGAATAATATCATCAAATCCTTCCACATTTGATTGTTAAATTAAAGTAATTCTTTCTAACATTCCACACACATACACACACACCCCTCCTTGGTCCTATGTTTGGCTGAGCCTTCTACTGTAATTTACCATAGTTTTCCTATTATTTAAGTGTGTGATTGGAAAATGAAAATTGTGTAGTTGATCAAACCCTCTGTGCACATTGCCAAACATTCCAAGAAAAAGAAATCAGACAGTTGCTTGTCATTACATGTAGATGGTGGAGGGGATGATTCTCTTGTCTTTGGGGTGAACATTAGGAATGAGATGGACATCACATAAATTAAATCAATCAGTCAGTTAGTCAGTCAATCAATCAGTCAATCAATGTTCCAGTTAGCAGTGTTGGAGAATGGTAATTTATTTTATTTATTGCATTAATAATCTTTTGTCAGGGAGTTCAAGATGGCATACATAGGGGTATATTTCCTAATTTTACCTCCATAATCACAATAAAGTAGATTGAGTGAGAGGAAATGATTGGCTTGGAGTCAACCAACTATGGTAAAAAACCTGGTGTCTCTGATTCAAGTCTAATACCATACCTGAACTACTATCCTGTATTAATGTTCAAAGATCTTTATGGCTCAGTCCCAGATAGCATGTCCTGGAATTCCAGAAAGTGGGAGGCAATTCCTCCTTGACAAAAACAGTGACCCCATAAGCCCCACCATCACTGCAGCCATATGTGTATCTTCTTGCTTTCTTCTGTAGGATGGCAGCACAGCTCTCTCCATCGCACTAGAAGCAGGTCAGAATGACATTGCCATCATGCTGTATGCGCACTTGAACTTTGCCAAAGCCATATCACTGGTGAGTTGCTCCCTATAATTGTAAAAGCATCTATCATAAAATTACTTGTAAGCCATTTTCTCTTGAAATCCAGGAAACATCAAGATAGAGCATTCCCAGTAGATGGCTATCCAGTTTTTCTTTAAGAATCTCTGTCAAAGCCTATAGGGAATGGGTTCTTCTGTTCTTCCTAGTTTTCAACCAAAATCTGTCTCTTGTAATTGAAGCCCATTAGAACATGCTTTGTCAGCCAAGAAAAAAAAAGTTTTTGCCTTCTTCTGTGTGATAGATCTAGAAAGAGTGAATTTTTCTCTAAGCTAAAGAGTTTCCTTAAGCTTTGCTCATAGGACTTTTTCCCCCATAATCCTAACCATAGTTGGTGATGTCCTCTTTCATTTGGTCTACAGCCTTTTTAAGCCCAAAGATAGCAGCCATATAGTTCCAGAGAAAAATAGGTTTCAGGCAGAATAAACTTCTTATGACTAAGAAATGATTTTAGTAATGCAATTGCAATTTGGTGTAGTCTTAATGCATGAAGCTAGAAACTGGAAGACCATGAATACTATTCCATCTTGATCACAAAGTCAGCTGGGTGACCTTGGACCAGTCACTTTCTCTCAGCTCTTGGAAGGAGGCAATGGCAAATCACCTCTGAAAACTCTTGCCAAGTAATCTGCAGACAGTCCAGACAGTCTCTGAGAATGGGACATGATTGAAAGGAAGAAAAAAATAATATTAAGTGGCTCTAATGTAGTCATAATGTAATATTAATTTTTGCAATATAAACACAACCAAGGCAGAACAGGAACAACATGATTCAGAGACTGACCTGGGGGAGACTGACATGCATTTGGTGATAATAACAGAGGGTGGGTAACTTTTCTGTGGATTCAGTTTTTTTTTAAAAAAGTTTGTTGATGTTTGAGAACTGAAGAATCATAGCTGTGATGCTATGACATCACTAAGAAGATGGATCAGATCCCCCCCCCCCCCGTATTTTGGAGAGTTTAACAGGCCCTGTTTTGGTGAAAATCAGGGGAGAATCTGATTACCTGACAACTGCCAACAGTTTTCAGTGAAGTGACATGGGAGATTGGGCACCTGCAACTGATCAAGAGAATTCTAAGATCTTATTTAATCCATTTTGCCATATGCTCTCAGGGCAAGTTGATTATCCTTCTGTGTTCCCATATTCCAATCTTCAAATTGAGTATAATTATAATCCACCCCAAATGGCTGCTAGGGTCAACATGGAATGGTAACTGAGCAGGGGATCTATGCATATGGATTCCCATAGATCATTGGGTTTGTGTAGCTGTTGTTGGTTAAGGGAAAGGTTGATTAAAAATAATACGCTAAAATGAGGTTGGAAAAGTGTGGTTCTTTCATTAAAAAACAATAATGAGGTACTTTTTTTCAGGATACCTTGGAGCAGCTGGAGCCTGAAAATGCAGATACAATATTCAGTGATTCTCTGTAACCCAAAGTAAGATGATATTGTTACCCAAAGGTTTTCTTACTTCTGCTTGAAAATTTGACAGTCTGGATGAAGGAAATATATATCTACAAAACCATACCCATTGCCAATGTATACAATTCTCTAGAAATGCTTCCTGTCCTTAGCTTCTCACACTGCCTTCATCAGCTGAAATCTCACCATCCACTCTGTTCAGAGGGAAGGACCTTCCAGGAGAAGGAACTTTATGAGCTTTTTTTCAACAATGTGGCCATGTATCCAGCTATGTTTGATGAGATGCAGTTTTGTCAGATAGTGAGCCAAAGGGAAGATTGGAAGATTGGAAGTTAAGGTCTCTAGGTGTTGCTATGACTTTTCAAAACTAATGTGTCTTATCTTTTTGAAGGCCACAGGCATTGGCCTCGCTACTAAATTCGAACTGCTCCATACTTCCTTCAATGCCCACATCACCTTGTTTTTACTTCTTCTGTGTATTCCTCAGGTGATTTCCCAAAAAACTGACAGTTTTCTGTGAGGGGAATTGCAAAGCCTTGAAAGACCTGTGAAGTAATAGTTTCTAAGCACAATGTGATGGCAGGTAAATACTAGGAGATGCTGGCTTGATCCAGGAAAAAAAAGTCATCATGCCCATCAGAAAGCTTTGGTGTTTCAAAAGGAAAAAAATCAGCATTAGAGCAGCTGAGATTGACCAAAGCTGAGTGGAAAATAAATCCGTTTAGCTGCCCAAATTGAGGCACCAATGGAGCTAATTCTTGAGCAAGAAAAAATTGCAAGAACTTGATTAGTTTGGTGTTTCCATTCCGTTGTTGTAGAGCAGGGGTGTCAAACTTGCAACGACATATTATCATCACGTGACGCATCACAACTTTTTCCCCCTTTGCTAAAATGGGGGTGGGCATGGCCAGCATGTGATGCATCCAGCCCACGGGCCATGAGTTTGACACCCCTGTTGTAGAGGGACCCAGCAGACTTTAGATCTATGTCTCTATATGAACTTGCTTTGCTTCTCTTCATCTAAGAATCTGAAGTGTGCGGCAGCAGCCAAAAAAGTCAATGCAATCCTAGGCTGCATTAATAGAGGGATAGAATAAAGATCTCGTGAAGTTCTAGTACCACTTTACAGCCTTAGTAAGACCACACTTGGAGTACTGCATCCAGTTCTGGTCACCACAATATAAAAAAAATGTTGAGACTATGGAAAAAGTGCAGAGAAGAGCAACAAGGATGATTAGGGCAAAAACAGTTGCAGGAATTGGGTATATCTAGTCTAAAGAAAAGAAGGATTAGGGAAGATATGATAGCAACGTTCCAATATTTCAGGGGCTCCTACAAAGACGAGGAAGTCAAACTATTTTCCAAAGCACCAGAAGGCAAGACAAGAAGCAATGGATGGAAACTTAACCAAGGAGAGAAGTATCCTAGAACTAAGAAATTTCCTAATGGTGAGGGCTATCAATCAATGGGCTCGCCTTCAGAAGTTGTGGGTGCTTCATTACTGGAGGCTTTCAAAAAGGGACTGGACATACATTTGTCTGAAATGGTGTAAAGTCTCCTGCTTGAGCAAGGATTGGACTAGAAGACCTACAAAGTCCCTTCCAGCTCTGTTATTCTATTATTTATTCATGTTCCATTGCAAAAAGGGCAAAATATTTTAAAGAGGCCAATGAAAATCTCTCTAAATCAACTCCATAGAGAATAGATAACCCTTTCATTTTCTGTTTTAAAGCTATGGAACTTCTGTATTTAATTTACCTGAATTAATTTTTGAAATCCCTAACCTTGTGTAAAGCAAAAATTATTTTTTATTACAATGCAAAATAAGCAGTGTTTAAATAGATCTAAAATAAGTATTTGACACTGAATTTTAAGATTTTATAAAATTGTCAAAATATTCGTATGATAAATGTATCACTATCTATATAATGCAAGTCGTAAAAGGATCATGGTAGAAATATATGCTATACATAACAAATACATACCCACTCCCAAGATTATACAGTAGCCATTTTTGGTTTAGACCACACAGACACACACACATACACACGTATCATTTTTTAAAAATATAAAGGTAGAGTTATGCAAGAATGCTTGTTGTGCAAGGATGCTTACACAACTCTTATTTATTCGAACAAAGTTTGCACAGGAAATTTTCTCCCAGTAAATTGGATCCTTAGCCAAGAAAGACTATCCTTGTGAATGGCTCTGTTCAGTCAGATTTACTGAAACTGAACAGTTTTGATGCAAGAACAATATGTAATTGATATTATTTGCCTAAATATTGAAATAAATATTAGAAGTTAGGCAAATCCATCCCTCTTGTTGAAAGAATCAAGCTGATTAGTGGATGAAAATTTATATTCCATTTGCTTTGTAAGCTGAAAGTTCTCTGCACTTAATTCTTTGTGTGTCAGATGCCAAACTTTACTCTCCTAGCAAGAAGTATAATAAACAAGATGAACAATAGACGTTTTTGTAATTGCTACTCATTTGAAATAATAAAGGGCACATCTTATTTTTATATCAGTATATACCGTAGTAATATACACCAAGAAAATGACTATCTGTAAATTATTCCAATGCAAATTACATGAGTTTTTTTAAAACAAAAACAAAAACAGAAGGCTATGTCCGAAGTGTAGGAAAGATGCTGGCAGAAGAACTATTGTCTGAGCTGCAAATCATCTGGCTGACACTTTGCACATTTTATATCCTGCTTTGTGTAAAAGTTATTAGAAACAAGTTGGGGTTTGTCAGAAGTTGAATGGTTTTTCTGTGACTCTGAATACATAAAGGGTACAAGGATTTCTTTTTAACATTCATTATCTGCCACTGCTTTGAAGCAGAATTTTAATGAGCCACAGTGGTGCAGTGGTTAGAGTGCAGTACTGCAGGCTACTTCTGCTGACTGCTGGCTGACTGCAATTTGGCAGTTCAAATCTCACCAGGCTCAAGGTTGACTCAGCCTTCCATCCTTCCGAGGTGGGTAAAATGAGGAACCAAATTGTTGAGGGCAATATGCTGACTCTGTAAACCGCTTAGAGAGGGCTGTAAAGCACTGTAAAGCAGTATATAAGTCTAAGTGCTATTGCTATTGCTAAAAGCAACAAGGACGGTTTCAGAAACTTCAGAAATGCACATGTTTAGGAGTGAATCCAAATATTGTATTTAAGATATTGCTTTATATATATGTAATCTTTTATATTTTCTATATGATAATTTCTATACATTTAAATGAACTTTATGCCATTTATATACATCATAATAAAAATAGAGTAGAGAACTGCCTTTGCTTCTTGATTAAAGCTACTTGAAAAAAACCTGTAGAAACATTGTCATATGTTTTCTTTCCATCAGAAATAAAACCCATCTAAATTCAGATTTCTACCAAATGTTTATTTATGGAGCAGAGACGTAATTCTTCCTAAGAATCCACCTTAGAGGAAGAAGGGCCTGCCTGCAGCAAATGCCCAAATTGCCATTCCTCTAATACCTTCTGCAGTATCCATGTTCATCAGGATGGATCATTAGAGAGAGCCCATAGATTGCCCTCCCTTCTATTCCCTCCCCTCCTTTTGCTGACTTGAGTCCATAGAAGAGATACAGTGGAGTAGAGATGAATCCAGTCCCAGGCAAACCTTCTGCAGCTTAAATTGGGCTGTAGGCATGTATGGATCCATGCCTCTCGAAGATGCAGGGAAAACTTGTCTTCTTTTAATGCTGTGTGGGATTGTGTACACAGACTTGGCTTGATGAATGATGACACGGATGCCTAATGAAAACATAATTTAATAAAAGTATCTTGGAGTCATATTTTATTTGGTTTGCAAATGATTCTATCGTGATGAAATAGTAAAGGACTTTTTCCCCTCTGTTTTGAAAAGTTGTTTGCAGGTAGTTCTGATGGGAGCTGCTATTAGTCTTATTTTTGGGTTTGACACTACACTTATTTTGAGGTTGGACACTACACTCTGAATATTTGGTGGTACTGGACTTGCAGTATTACTACAGGACATTCAAAATAGTAGTGAAATGTAAAATTTGTTACTACCGGTTCTGTGGGTGTGGCTTGGTGTGTGTGTGTGGGTAATGTGACGGTGGGCATGGCCAACTTTTTTTTTTAAAACTTTTAAAAGCATTTCAGGCAATTCAGCTGGGATCATCAGAGGCTTTTAAAAACATTTTTTCTACAACCTCTTTGGCCAAGAAGAGTTTGTAGAAAAAAATGCTTTTACCTTCGAGACCGACTTCTGCCACCAATAGCCTCCCACCGGCCAGTTCGCTCCCACAGAGAGCCAGCCTCGTATAACCTCCCGAGAGGCCAGCACCAGCCAGGAGGGACACGGGTCCAATAAACATGTGGCCACGCTCAGTCTGCCCAGTATCTTGTCCACGTTTTCCGGAATCACAGAATCAAACTCTTCCCAGGTAATATTCTCAAGACTTGCCTCCATCCTCCCTCCCGAATCTACCCAGTCAGAGTCCAAATTTTCCCGAATCTGAGCGATTTTGTCATACAGATATTGTACAAAGTCCTCGGCTCTACCCTCCAAGGGGTCCTCCCGCGCTTCCTGGTGGAGCAGGGAGCGGGTCACCCTAAACAGGGTGGCCGGGCGATTATCTGATGACGCAATAAGAGCGGAAAAATAGTTACACTTTGCCGCTTTTATTGCCACCAGGTAGGTCTTAATATGAGACCTTACCAGTGTTCGGTCAGATTCAGAACGGCTGGCCCTCCAACTGCTCTCCAGGCGTCTTTTCCGGCGTTTCATCTCCCTCAGCTCCTCGGTGAACCAGGGAGCCAGGTGAGATCGACGCCGGGTTAGAGGCCGCAAAGGCACGACCCGGTCCAGAGCTCCAGCGGCCGCCCTATCCCAGGCAGCCACTAGGTCTTCGAGCCGTGTGCCAGAGCCTCAGGAAATGGCCCAAGCTCCGTCTGGAACCTATCCGGGTCCATCAGGCGCCTGGGGCGGAACCACCTCATCGGTTCCGCCTCCCTGCGGCGGGGTGTGACGGTTCGAAGGTCAAAGCGAAGGAGGGAGTGATCTGACCATGACAAGGGCTCGATCGCTATATCCCCTATCTCGAGACCACTCAGCCACTGACCAGAGACAAAAACCAGGTCCAGCATGTTTCCCCCCATGTGAGTAGGGCCATGAACTAATTGGGTCAGGTCCATGGCCGTCATGGAAGCTTTTAAGATGTTTAACTGCAGGCAAGCCTTCTAGAAAGGCTTCATGATATAGTCGTTACAGGGTTGGCTGGGGTGATACCTTGAGTTTTCTCCAGGAAAATATCTCCTTACTCCAGGGAGTGATTTGGGCAATTTTTGGAGAAGTGGCAGACCAGTGTTATGGAGGGATCTGACATTGTTTTAGTCCTTGAAGGTGAAAGGGGTTCTGGGGTCATGGACAACACTAAAAGATGCTTATCAGTCCTTACCACGAGCAGCTGTGGGACATTCTGATCATTGCATGATTCACCTTGTACCTGCTTACAGGCAAAGACTTAAAACCACAAAACCAACAATCAAATCAGTGAAGACCTGGACGGAGGAGGCAAAGTTAAAGCTACAGGCCTGCCTTGATTGCACTGATTGGAAAGTTTTTGAAAGTACCTCTGCAGACTTAGATGAACTCACAGAGACTGTAACATCATATGTTAGCTTCTGTGAAGACCTATGTGTACCCCACCAGGAACTTGTGAACATACAGTAACAACAAACCTTGGTTCACAGCTAAACTTAAGCAGCTACATCATTCCAAAGAGGAAGCCTACAGAAAAGGTGATAAAATGCTGTACAATCAGGCCAGAATAACCCCATTCCTAAGTGTCACAGATCACATTGGCCAATTGAATTAATTGGCAGTCTCTTCAGGCACTCCTTTCCCAACCTTATCTGATGCCAGTGGAGATGACCTTGGTTCTCATGAGAAAGCTCTTTGTTCTGTCTAGTAATGCATTCCAACCTTCTTCTCTCCCCCTCCCCCCATGTGACAACTGAGAAACAGAAAGATTGCTGTGGCCAGGTTCAGTTCAAAGTTGACAACTGCTTTGATTGCTTGAGTTTCTGCTTCAGTACAGCTTGGGTAGTGAGTCGTTCCTATTGAAGACTATAACTCTAGGATGTGGGAGTCTAGTGCAGGATGATACAGATTAACAGAGTTGGAAGGGACCATGTAAGTCATGTAGATCAGAGCAGCAAAAAGAAGCTACTCTGAAAAGCTAAAGAATCAGTTTTCAACAAATCAACCAGCAAATATGTGGAAAACTCTTAAAAATATCACCGGTTACGGCAAACCTCCTTCCCAGGCTGAAGGAAATCAGCAACTGGCAGATAACCTGAACATGTTTTACTGCAGGTTTGAAAGGAAACTACAGCCACCTATCTCCACAACCCCCATCTCAGACACACCAACAACAGCCAAGCTTCCTACAACTGATCCCATCCCATTGGGTTCACAACCCCTAGTGATCACAGAAAAGGAAATGCAAGACAAAAGCCAGGAAAAGTTCCAAGCCCAGACAAGATAACTCCTTGCTTAAAAGTCTGTGCTGACCAATTGGTACCCAACTTCACCCGTATCTTCAATAAATCACTAAAGATGTGCTATGTTCTTTCTTGCTTCAAACGCTCTACTATCATCCCAGTGCGGAAGAAGCCCACCATCAAGGAACTGAATGACTACAGACCAGTTGCTCTAACATCTGTAGTCATGAAAACTTTTGAAAGGCTAGTGCTGTCCCACTTGAAAACCATAACGAATCCGCTATTAGACCCCTTGCAATTTGCATACCGAGCAAATAGATCAACAGATGATGCTGTTAATATGGCTCCGCACTACATCCTACAACATCTTGAATCTCCAAAGGCCTACGCAAGGGTCCTCTTTGTAGACTTTAGTTCAGCATTCAATACCATCATTCCGGACATACTTCTAACTAAGCTAAACCAGCTACAGGTACCTGAACACACTTGTAAGTGGATCATAAGCTTCCTAACAAACAGGAAGCAGCAGGTGAAGCTAAGCAGAATCACATCAGATACCTGTACAATTAGCACAGCCCCCCCCCTAAGGCTGTGTGCTCTCCCCACTTCTCTTCTCTCTGTATATCAATGATTGCATCTGTAATGATCCATCTGTTAAACTAACTGAAGTTCGCAGATGACACAACAGTGATCGGTCTCATTCGAGACAATAATGAATCCGCATACAGACGGGAGGTTGAACAACTAGCCTCGTGGTGTGACCGGAACAACCTGGAACTGAACACACTCAAAGCCATAGAAATGGTGGTAGACTTTAGGAGAAACCCTTCCATACTTCCACCTCTCACAATACTAAACAATACAGAATCAACAGTAGAGACCTTCAAATTTCTAGGTTCTACCATATCGCAAGATCTAAAATGGTCAACTAACATCAAAAACGTCATCAAAAAAACACAACAAAGAATGTTCTTTCTGTGCCAACTCAGAAAGCTCAAACTGCCCAAGGAGCTGCTGATACAGTTCTACAGAGGAATTACTGAGTCTGTCATCTGCACCTCTATAACTGTCTGGTTTGGCTCTGCAACCCAACAAGACAGACACAGACTTCAGAGGATAATTAGAACCACAGAAAAAACAATTGCTACCAACCTGCCTTCCATTGAGGACCTGCATGAGTCAAAAAGAAGGCTGTGAAAATATTTACAGACCCCTCACATCCTGGACATAAACTGTTTCAACTCCTACCCTCAAAATGACGATATAGAACACCAGAACAACTAGACACACTGGACACCAGACAACTAGACACAAGAAGAGTTTTTTCCCGAATGCCATCATTCTGCTAAAAAAATAATTCCTTCAACACTGTCAAACACTTGTTGTAACATGCTCAGGAGCTACGCGCAGGCATGAGAGAATCATGCTGTACCGCGTATGCGAAAAACTAGATAAAGGTTGCAACAACTCATAGATAACTGTAACAATTCACTAGCAGCTAGAATTGTAGATCTTCCCAAATTTGGGCATTGCTTCCATGTATTACTTGTACTTACGTATGCATTACATGAGACATGCTGTAATATATTATTGGCTTAAGCTAACAAACCCCTCCTGCCTTTGTTTGTGTACAATAAAAGAGGCTCCCGGAGTCAGATCTGGGTCGTCTCATCCCGAGAAAACTCGTGTCCGAGTCTTTCCTCAATATTGACCTCATGGGCGGCCTGCGGAAAACTCACATCTGGTGACCCCGACGTGATATCCGTGTCGCCCACCCATCTCACCCCCGGCTGGGAATAGCCTCGCACCCAGGGACGGCCGTTGGTGAACGGAGCACCCTCCCACATCGTGAGTATGGGATCGGGCTTCTCGAAGGACCAGGCAGTTCA